ACTCACTCCTGTGGCTTCCAGCCAAACAATAGACAGGCATATGGGGTGAACATTTGCATCAGGTAGATACACTCCTTGGAGCGATCAATCATGGGAAAACAGAAGGGCAGTCAGTGTATGCACAGGGAGACAGCTTGGGGGGCAGGAGTGCATGGGAGGGGAGAGGTAACTATGGGGAGGAAGTGGGAGGGGAGCTGTTGCATTGTGGGAAATTGCAGTCAAGGTCATGAAATAAAATGTGTATGAACTTCTGTATGGAAAATGAATTTGCTCTGTAAACTTTCACCAAAATCACTTTTAAAAGTTTGCAATCTTCTTGGATAATGTAAGGCTCTTTAGAAACTCATTCAAACCAAGGGGCTATTCAAACCGTGGATATCATGGTTCAGTAGAGAAATATTTCTGTAGGCTAGGGTGATCAGAACATGTCTGTGTACAAGAAAGATTTATGGGGGGACTTGAAATTCAGTTGATCAGTTTTGGATTGACTGAGAAAAAGACAGAGGGAATTTCAAATGGAGAGGTTAGGGTATGATCAATGGCATATAGGCAAGATTTAAATGAACATAAAATAGGAAGTCTCGCTAAGGTGAAAAGTTTAAGGAGGACTTTCAACACCTGGCCAAAGAGTTGGGGCTGTATACTGTGGGGAATCACTGAAGATATTTAAGGGACAAACCTGATGAAATATTTGTGTAGGAAGATTACTTTGGTGTAGTATACATAAGAATTAGCAATAGGAAAAAATGGAGGCAGAGGGAACAAAGGGAAGTTTGAGTTTGAGGTTGAGTTGATTAGGCTTGAACTAGGAAAAGTATGGAAAAATGTAAGAGGAATGGAGGAGAAAGTATTTGATAGCTGACTTCATGTGGAATATAAAAGAGAGGAAGACAAAAGTGACATCAGAGTATCAAACCAGTGGTAACATTTCATAAAGGGAAAAATGATAGAAGAAAGCACACCTGCCTTTTCTGTTTCTATGTAGTTTACAAGGAACCTTCACTTACCTTACCTCATTTAGCCATTATAATAAGAAGAGGTGATGACTGAACCTTGGGTACCATGTTTTTTCTCAAATAAAGTGTGTGTTATAAGTTTTTTGGGCAACCATGCACACACATCCCCTCCATGCATTAGTTTCATGTATGCTATGTATGCCAGGGTTTT